CCTCTGCTGCCCACCACGTGCTGACTGCACCACTGCCATCGGGATCGGATGGTAGTGCCCACCATTCTGTGGAAGGTTCGGCTCCTTTGTCAAGGGGAGTAGTCAAGAGCGCCCTGCGTCAATGAACAAACATCCGTCTGCTGCAGACTTATCCTAACGAACGGGTCTCTTATAGCCGAATAGTCTCTGCTAACATTGACCCCGCCGGAGCCGCCGCCCTAAGGCCGCCCTCCGGATCACGGAGCGTTGCGACTTCGCCCGCTCCTGCCTCGCTTTCTGGGTCCTCCCCGTCGGAGAAGAGAACCAGTCCGCTTGGTCCACCCCCGCCTGTGCCTGGTGCCCGCTCTTTGCCCCTTCGCCCTGCACCGGCTCCGCCGTTTGATGGAAACTGTGAGTACGCTTCGGATGACGTCCTTCTCTTCTGGAAACCTCCGTCTGTGTGCTCGCAATGGACTCCTTCGGCTTTTGACGTACTGGGGGTACGTTATTCATGCGGTGAGCAATTTATCGTGTCTGAAAAAGCGAAGCCGTTTGGAGATATGACGTCGTATGACAAAATTATGGCTGCAACCAATCCTATGACACACAAGTTTTGGGTCGTAACGTGCGCCCTTTCGACTATGCTGAATGGGAGCGTCGTCGTGAAGCGATCGTGCTTACGGGGTCGTATGCCAAATTTTGCTCAAAACCATGGCATGAAACATCATCTACTGGAGACGGGTACCCGCCTCCTTGCAGAAGCCAGCCCCGTCGATCATGTTTGGGGTGTCGGCATGTCTGCATGCTTTCTAGATGCTAGCGTTTCATCCGAGTGGGCGGCTNGGAGCGTCGTCGTGAAGCGATCGTGCTTACGGGGTCGTATGCCAAATTTTGCTCAAAACCATGGCATGAAACATCATCTACTGGAGACGGGTACCCGCCTCCTTGCAGAAGCCAGCCCCGTCGATCATGTTTGGGGTGTCGGCATGTCTGCATGCTTTCTAGATGCTAGCGTTTCATCCGAGTGGGCGGCTAGCGGTAAAAACTTGTTGGGAAAAGCTTTGATGGAAGTTCGACGCCTTTTAGGGGATCATCCCCTGTCTGGCGAAGATTTCCCTGCTTCCAATTCTCCCACGCTCCCCATTTCGTAGCCTCCTCTCCATGGACACCGACGCATTCATGAGATTGCTACTGCTACAGGTTCTTCGCTACGGAAGGACCCGGGCGAAGACTCAGCTTGTCTACGTTTGGACGCTCCGGGGGACCATGCTCCTGGCGTTCATCTGGTGGCATCGACCTCCGCTTGTGCAGACCAGCCTCCTCTTCTCGAACATGGGCCCGATCTGGTCGGCGGCACGCTCCTGTTGGACTCGGACTAATACACCACCCGGGCCCTGCTGCATGGAGGACCTACAGCCATTTCTCAACTAGCGCGAGTGGCGCTTCTGGACTCTGGGTCTCCTGCGTCCTTCGTGTCCGACTCCGTGGTCATCGCCATGATAGCTGCTGGAGCCCTGACAGCTGGCAGCGTTCGTGTTTCGCCCTCTCGTCGTTGGGGTGGGTTTGGTGATGGACCCGCCCTTGTCACCACCCGGTCAATTCGTCTCAGCATTAGTTTTTTCCATGGAGATCGAGCTACCGCTTCCTCGGTGGTCTGGGCCTTTGTTGTTCCAGACGCCGCCATGGGGCACGCGTTCTGGGCCGTGATAGCTGGTTGCGCTTCAACTCTCGCGTGTTCACCACCCGCCCCCACCCTGGACCGGACGGATGGGTTATGGGCGAGCTCACGCTCTCTCCGCGTTTTACAGCTGGTGCTTGCGTTTACGCTACACACGACGACGCTCCTGCCTCCTCGTTTCACCTTAGCTCGGGAATTTCTTTGGGCCCGGAGCCAGCACTCGTTGAGGTGGACCTCGTTCGTTCTTCTGGCATGCCTGCGCTGGTTGGAGAGTATCTGGTATCGTTCAAACCCGAAGTGGGTGCGCTTTCGTCCCCAGATGCGTTCGTTTCCAATGGTCTCCAGCGCATTCCCCATGCAGGTTGTGCCGAGCTGGAGCCGGGAGACGTTATTGGAGTGTCTGCCGCGCCTCTACTACGAGTACCGGTGGAAACCCTGAAGGCGGCACCATCTTCGATTCCTACCGGCCCCACAACATCTGCATCACCACCTCGGGTCAACGTCGTCGGTCCCAAGTCCGGGACTCACCGCTCTCCGGACCCAGCCTCCGCCCCGCCTCCTCCGAAGCCGCCTCCACAAGAACTACTTGACCGCTTCTCTGAGGCACAGCGCTCCAGCTTCATGCGCTTGTGGGCTAGGCTGCCCGCACATATGCACGACATCGCTTTCGATCTACACAATCGGGATGGACACCGGAGGCTATTAATCGTTTAGCCGACGCCCTTGTGGAGTATTCTGACGTGTTCTCTACTTCGGAAACCGATTTTGACTCCTGCACCATCATGCCGTTCACTCTTTGTCCCAGCAGGGACGAAGCCCGTTGCATCACGCCCGTATCGTATCAACCCGTTGATGCAAAAGAAAGTGGATGCCGTTTTGGACCAGTATTTGGCGGCAGGGCTCATTCAACATTCCACGTCTCCGTGGGCTTCTCCTTGAGTTGTCATCCCCAAGAAGGAAGGATCGGTTCGCATCACCGTCAACTACAAACTTCTCAACGCTCTGGTGGATCTGGATGGACAACCTCTCCCTCGAGTGGACGGTATCTTGGATTCTCTGTACACCGAGAAAGTGTTCTCCATCTTCGACCTCAACTCGGCTTTCCACTAGATCGTTTGTGATGAAGACACTTTCCCGCTCACCGCCTTTTGCACTCCCACGCAGTTGGTCGAATGGCTTCGGATGCCGCAGGGAGCCAACGCAAGTCCGTCTTGGTTCGTCAAAGTCATTATCAGAGTGGTGCACGGTCCGGAGCGTGTGCTTGCGTATCTGGACGACGTGATCTGTTTCGATGAGAAACCTCTGGGACACGTGCTGAACATGATCCAGTTCTTCAAACGACTGCGGCAGTAGACTACAACCTCAAACTGTCTCCAGGGAAGGCTCGCGTCGGCGCCACGCACGCCAAGTTCCTCGGTCACACCATTTCTCCGGTTGGTGTTAGCCCTGATGGCATNGGCTTCGGATGCCGCAGGGAGCCAACGCAAGTCCGTCTTGGTTCGTCAAAGTCATTATCAGAGTGGTGCACGGTCCGGAGCGTGTGCTTGCGTATCTGGACGACGTGATCTGTTTCGATGAGAAACCTCTGGGACACGTGCTGAACATGATCCAGTTCTTCAAACGACTGCGGCAGTAGACTACAACCTCAAACTGTCTCCAGGGAAGGCTCGCGTCGGCGCCACGCACGCCAAGTTCCTCGGTCACACCATTTCTCCGGTTGGTGTTAGCCCTGATGGCATTAAGGTTAGGGCGCTCACGCACATGCCGCCGCCGACGAATGTTAAGCAGCTTCGAAGCCTTCTCGGTGGACTCAGCTACTACCGGAACTTCCTTAAGAATCTCGCCACCAAGGTGCGGCCTCTCAACTCTCTTCTCAAACAAGGCGTTCCCTTCAAGTACACCCCGGGCATGTCAAGGTTGTCCAAACGTTGTTATGCGAACTCGCTCGCCCCCCGATTTTGGCCTTCCCGGATTGGGCAGCAATCGAGGACAACAGCCGTCCTCTTCGTTTGTGTTCCGGCGCGTGTATCGACGGCTTTGGCGCCTCTTTGGAACAAGAATAGCTCCATGGCTCGGTGAGACCCATCGTGTACATCAGCCGCGCTACTCTTCCTGCGGAGCGTAACTGGACCCCTTTGGATCTGGAGGCTGTTGGCATTGTTTGGGCCATCAAACACCTTCTTCGCGGTTGTCTGTGGTCGACCACGTTCATCATCTATTCGGACCACAAAGCCTTGGAGAGCATCGGCAAGGTTGGGGAACACAACGCTAGGGTGCAACGATGGCTCGAATTCCTGTCCAAATTCACCTACACCCTGAAATATCGGAAAGGTTCGGCAAACGAATTTTCTTTCGCGGCTGCCTTTACCAGCACAAGACACTGACAAAACCGGCCCCGACTGCATTGATGGTGTCGATCAAGCGGGCGTTTTCCTCATTCGGGCTGGCGGGCACAATTATCACTCGTCGTCTACGCCGGAGATAGGTTTGGGTGGGCTCCGCCCTCCTTGCCCGGCGGGAGTCTTTTCGCCCCCAGCGTTGCAGCCCTCCGATTTGGGGGATTTTCGTCGATATCACCCGCGTCGAGTGGATGCTCTGACGGACTCAACGATTGCCTGCGAGAATTCTCGGCGGTTCCCGGGGGTCTCCATCGTCTCGCCTGTTCCCACATCTTCAGGGTCTGCTTGCCCGTTGACTTCTGCTGCGTCCCGCGTGATGTCTCCTGCCACGCCTTTGGCGACTAGATATGTGCACGTTTTGTCTTCGCTTCCGGAGCGGGGACCGCTCATTTCTTCACGGACTCGGGCCAACTACCGCTGTTTCCGGAGGCACCGTCACCGGTCCCGCTTATTTCGGACGCCAGGCGTGGGCTACCATCGTCCCTCGGACATCGTCGCCTGCCCGTCGCTCTAGCAGGTCCCGCTCGACAATGAAGACCACCCGAACCGCCGCGCGTCTGCTGCAGGCATCCGCGACTCCGGCATCGGCGTTTTCGTCGACTGCTCCTGCACCACCGGTGTCTTCGCCGTCAGCGGCGCGCTCTGCATCCCCGATTTCGCCTTCTCTACAGGTTTCGCCCGGGACTTCGCCCCTCGCGATGTCCCCTTCGCGAACATCACCACGGACTGCGGCTGCCCCAGTCGCTGAGGCTTCGCCTTCTTCAGCCTCTTCCGTTGGACCGCCTGACTTTTGGAATCTTCTGATTTGGAAACCTCCCACTTGCGGGCTTGTGTTCAGAGTTTCAGCACTGTGGACTGGGCGAGGGAACAACAGCGGGAGAGCGAGTGTGTGGTGGCTATGCGTTTTTTGTCTCGCGGTTCTCCTTCCTCACCCCCTCCGGACTTGCTCACTCTCCGTGCTCCTTCGCTCCCCTCGGTTAGATGATGTGCTTGTGTTGGCGGCGAAAACCAGACTGCACACGACCGACGACAACATCACCCTCCTCGTACTTAAACTGGCGCTGTCGCCGATTGGGCGCTCTGGCGGCAGGACCACTCGTCTGCCGGATACTGGCGTGCCCCGTGTCTACGTGCCAATGCTGATGCGTC